CCGGCCCCGGGGGGGCCGCGCCGCAGCCCCCGCCACCTACCCGCACCATCCGGGGGCCGCCGTCGCGCTGCCGGGCGAGCGGGGCCGAAGCCTTCCTCCTCCTCCTTCTCTCCCTCCTCCTCCTCCTCCCTCCCCGCCCCCGCACCGGGAGCGTCCCCGCCGCAACGCCGCCGGTGCCCCGGGCGAGGGGAGGAGGCAGAGGAGGAGGAGGAGGCGGGGGCGGCGGCGATGGGGCCGGGGCGCTGCGGGCTGCGAGGAGGAGCCGTGCCCGGCCGGAGTGGGGCTGCGCCGGGGGGGCGCGGGGGGGATGCCCGCGCTGCTCTGCCGTAGGCGCCGCCCGCCCTCCCGCCCCGCCCGGAGCATGGCCCCCGGCAGCGCGACGGAGCCGGAGCGAGGGTGACCGCCCGCGGGGGACACTGTGCTGTGCCGCTGGCCTCGGAGGACTTTCACTATAATTATCATCATTGTTATTATTATTATTGGGGGTTTAATTTTTTAATTCTTTGGCGGGGCAGCGGTTTTTTCCTCCTCCTTCAGCGCGGTGGAAAACACACGTTTTAGACCAAAATCCCAAACCAGCCCATCCATCCTCTTTGCTTTGCGCTTCGCAGCAACTTGGAGCCCGTTAATTGCACTTGGCGATGGTAGGTCCCATGACACTTTCGTTTTCTCTTCTACTTCCCCCTCTCCCCTTCACCCCCCCGTGTGCGTGTGTTTGCGGGTGCCCCCACGAGCAAAAGTTGCTGCCGGGGAGGGGGCGGCGGGGCGAGTTTAATACGGTGTCGGGGCGGGGGGAGCGNCGGAGGCGGCGGCGGGAGCCGCCCGGCGGGGAGGTCGCGGCGCGGCGCGGGGGCAGCCTCCGCAGCCAGCGGAGGACTGGATGGAGCTGAAAATGGCCGCTAAAAAAGGGGCGGAGAGGCCGCCAGCCGCACCGACTTGAACTTGGAAGTGACGCCCGGGAGGGTCGCGCTCAAGTCCGCGCTGCGCGGAGCCGCCCTGCCCGTACTGGGGTGGGAGAAGGGAATCACCGTGCTCGGTGTGAGAATAAAAACATTTCCCCCGGCCCCGCTGTGCGGGGCTTCGCCCGCTTCTCCTGCTGGCAGGCCACGGGGGGAGCGCGGCGGCGCGGCCCGAGCCGCCCCGGGAGGATGCGGAGACCGGGCCCGCCCGGCCAAGTTCGCGCGGAGGCGCCGCATCCCGCGGGGACGGGGATGTCCCTGCGGGGGGAGCGTGCGGGGCGAACCCCAACCCCGGGCGGGGATGGGCCGCGGGGGTCGGCAGAAGTTGAGAGTGGAAATTTGTTGTGCGGGAAGAGGCGCTGCGGGGGCTCGTCCCCGCAGAGGAAAAAGAGGGAGAAAAAAAAAAGGCCAAAAAAAGCGGTTTTCTTATTTTTGGGGGGGGGAATAAGCAGCGCTGGAGCCGCAGCCCCGCGCCAGGAGCAGCCGCGCTGCGGATCAGGTCCCTGAAGGAACGGGCGACCCCCGGTGCGGGAGGGGAGCGGGGCGCGGCCCCCCCGGGCCGGGAGGTGCCCGGGGATCCCCTTTGTGTTCCGCCCGTGGCGCTCCCCGCGCGCTCTCTAATTAGCGTCATTAGCGCCCGCGATCGGCCAGGGCCGGGGGGTTGCGGAGCGAGAACTTGCGGTTTGGAGTTTGCCGGGCGCAGGCTCCGCTTTTTTCACCTCCCGCTCTCTTTGTGCGGGGGGGGTTGCGGGGCTCCCCGGGACGAGGGGGGGGCGCGGGGCTGCCCCTGGCGCTTTCTTCCCCCGTGGCACCGTGATGCTGCCGGTGGTTAAATAACGCGGGGGGAGTGGGATAAGCGTCTCCGCGGGATGAGCGAGATGCGGCGGGGGCAGCGCGGGGCCGGCGGGGCGGCCCCCCTGCACCGGGGCTGGGTGCGGGGAGTAACACCGCTGCCACCCCCCCGCGCCGGGGCCGCTGCTCAGAAGTTGCACATGAATCTGCAGGGTTTTTTCTCTCCCATCGCCGGATTGGCTCTGTTTAGTAAAAAAAAAAAAAAAATTAAAAAATAAAACCCCCAAAACAAGCAAAGCCGGGCGCGCTCCGCGCAGGGCCGAGGGGGGATCCGCCGTCCGCGGGGGCCCCGTCCCTCCCCCGCCCCCCCCTGCCCCGCAGCGCCTCGGCCCTGCGAGCCAAAGGGGGTTCCTACATCTTTAAATGGGATGTAATATTTTGGGATGGGCTTTTTTCATAACGTCACTTCATTCCTCGCTCTTTTTTTTTTTTTTTTTTGGTTTTTTTTTTTTTTTTTTTCATTTTCTCATTCTTTCTTTCCTCTCCCTCTCCGCTGCCTGGGTCTCGGATGGAGCCGCTTCCCTTCTAACTTCCCCGCCGCCCGTGCCTTGCAGGCTGGGTGCGGACCCCCGACACCCCCGGGGCGAGGATGACCCTCCTGCCTCTTTAAACCGCCCCCCCAAAACCCCAAACAAACAACAACAACAAAAAAGCGCTTTATTTTCCAAGTGTGGGGGGGGAATTTTGCTTTTTATTTTTAATTTTTTTTAAGTGTTGGTTTGTTTTGGTTTGGTTTCTTTCTCTTTTTTTTTTTTTTTTTAAGTTTTTTTGGCGGGGGGGTGGAAGTTGGAATCTTTTTATTTCCTCCTCGGCCCCCCCTCCCGCGGGGCCGCCCCCCCGTGCCCGGCTGCCCCCCCCCGGGCCCCGCAGAGCCGCTCCGGAGGAGAGAGAGAGAAAAAACGCCCGGACTGCTCCAGCCTCCGAAATGACTCAGTAACTTTTACGCCTCGAGTCTCAGCCCTGCAATTAGGCACTTTCCCAGCACGGCTCGGGATGTATTCGTCTCCTCTCTGCCTGACCCAGGTAACCGGGACCCCCCCGCGTCCCCCTCCCCCCAATTTGCTCCTTTCGCCGCAACAGACTTTAGCAGTTGCAATACAAAAAGGGAAAAAAAAAAAAAAAAAAAAAAAAAAAAAAAAAAAAAAAACCCCAAGAAAATGCAACACCTCCCTCCCTAAAAATAATCATAACAGAGAAAGGCGGGTTGGGGCCGTGCAGGCTGCTCAGAGGAGCCGCGTTCCCCTCCTGTCCCCCTCCCTCGCCTTTTGCAGGGTTTTTTTATGGTGTTTCTGGTGCTTTTTGGGTTTTTTCAGCCTTCACTTTCACTTGGGGCGTGGGGGGGTTGGAAGATTGCGTTGTGGTTTGGGTTTTATTTTTTGGTCGCTGCGCCCAGAGGTGGGTGGTGCGGGGAAGCCGCCGGCTCTGGGGGTGAGGGGGGACAGCGTGGGGTGCGGGGGGTCCTCGGTGGGCTCGGGGAGCCCGGGGGGGGTCGGCGCTGCAGCCTCGGGCTCGGCCGTGCCGCCTCTTGCGTAGCGTGAAACTTTTTCCTTCCCTCCCCCCAGCCCGGCTGCACATGGTGGAGTGCAAGGGCCGGGGGGGCACGGGCATTTTGTTGGGAACCCTCCAGCTTCGGGACAATGTGCACCCGGCCGTGCCACGCCGCGCTGGCGGGCGAGAGGGCAGGGGGGGCCGTGCACGGCAGGATGTGGGGGCACCCCCTCGGTATCCGAGGCGAGGGGCGATGCCAGCCCCCGTCAGGGAGTCGGGGTGACGAGGGGCAGCCCCGAGCCGCTCGTGGGGACACTGATGTCACCCCAGGCCACGCCGCCGCGCTCCGGTGGCACGCGGCAGGGCGGCCGTGCCTGGGCCCGCGGTGCAGGCGACAGGGGCGTCCCTGCAATGCCCCAAGAGCCGGGATGGCCGCGGGGGGAGATCCAGGAACCCCCCCCGCCCTGCCCACAGCGCGACCACTGCGGCTCTGCCTTTGCATTGTGCTTATTGATCGCTGATATTTATTTAATTATTGAGCAGGCAGCTTTCTCTGCCTCGTAACCTGTTCCCTGCTGGCAGCCGCTGCCCGCTCCGGGCCCGGCCTCGTGCGGCGCCCCTCGGGCTCTGCTCTGGGGAGGGGGGGGGCTGCTGCAGACCCCCGCCCCTGCCAGCCCCCTCCCTCGGCACGGGGCTGCGGCTGGGGCTGGCTCTGCCTCGGGGCTGGGGCTGCGCTGCCCACGGGGCTCCGTGGGGGTCCGTGGGGTCCCCTCGTGGCCCGCTGAGGTGCGGGGGCAGCGCGGGGTCCGGCCCCGGCTCCCCCCGGCCGCGGCGTGAGGCTGCTGAGGACACGGGCAGGGTGGGCAGTGCCAGGGCTGCTCAGATGACCCTGAGGTGGTGCTCCCTGTTGTGTGGTTGACTTGGCAAGGGTCACACCTCAATCTGGCTTATTTACTTCTCTTTCTTCCTTTTTCTTTTATTATTTTTTAACTATTTTTCTTTCTTTTTCTCTTTCTATTTTTTATTTGTACTTTTTCCTTTTTTACCTTCTCAATTTTTCTTTTAATTTTTCCCTTGCTCTTTTTCTTTTTTGTTAGTTTTTTTTCTCTTTTTTTTTTCTCCTTTTTTTCTTTCTTTTTTTCCCTTTCCTTGCCATCCCGCCTTTCCCACCCTGACTCCATTCCTCCCAGGGGTCCCACCACCTCCCAACCCTCCCAGTCTCCAGCTGGTGCTGGGTTGGCAGCGCCTGTTGTTGCCAGCTCACAGTGCTGGTATGATGTGGAAGCCGTGCGGTCGCTGGCCGGGCCGGGGCTGGCAGGAGCCCTTCTCCTCACAAACCCGCGCTGTTCCCAGCTCTCCTCCTGGCCGACGGAAGGCAGCTGGTTTTTCCTCCACGGATCCTCTGCCCGGGCACGGGGCAGGCTCTGGTGTGCTCCCCCTCACCCTGACACAGGCTCAGCTCCGATCCAGCCCGGCTCGGATGGGACCAGCCCTGTCCCCAGCTCCAGCCCAGCCGTTCCCGTTCCCGTTCCCATCCCAGCCGCGCGCGGGCAGGCTCGCCCGGGCTCGGGAGCTGCGGGTGGTGATGTGGATACATTGGAACGTGCGCGGGAGCCGCCCTGCCTTGGCCTTTGCGCATCTCCCCAGCAGCAGCACCGCCGGCCCCGGGAGCCCGGCACGGCCCTGGCACCGCGGGACCCCGCGGGCAGGCAGGAGCCCTTCCCGGCCGGAACGGGCCCGAGCTGGGGAGCCCAGCGGCACCACAATAGCCCCGGCAAAGGGCTGATAGCCCGGGACACGCTCCTGGCCACGGCCTCGGCCGTACCTCCGTCGGGTTAGAGGGTGGCTTTGTGCCCTCCCAGCTCTATGTCCCTTCTTGGGGACTTCCTCCCGCTTCCGCAGCTCACCTCTGTCCCCGCTCGGGGCCAGGCCGGGAAGTCAAGAGGGAGCTGCCGAGATTAGCAGGGAAGCAGCACCGGAACCGCCGCCACGCACGAGGCCTCACCCTGCCCACGGGGAAGCGGGGCGGGGGCCGGGGGGTGTCCGGCTGCCCAGGCTCCAAAATAACCCTGGAGCTGAGCACCTGCCAGGGACCTGCACGTGTGTCCCCTGGGAGCTGCTGCCCAGAAGCCAAAGGGATTTCCAAAGTGGTAACAGTTATCCTTGGCTCCTGGATCCGCAGTGGGGGGACATTTGGGATACTTCTTATGGGGGAATATTGCAAATTTTATGACTGGCAATGCTCCTACACCTGTGGCTCGTACCTGGTACCTGGCAGTTCCCCCAGCACACCCCCAGCCCCCCACCCTGGTTCCTGCAGGATGGGAATGAAGTGAGATGGGCGCCATCCTCCAAGGATGCCAAAATGTTGGAAGCCGGGCATCCCAGCAGGGTCTGGTCAGAGACTCTCTTCCCTCTGCCAGGCTCCATGCTAGGGGTGCAGAGCTGATTTTGGGATGGCAGAGGCAATGCACTCGCACTGCCTGACCGGGAGCCAGTGGCCAGGCACAGACCCCCACGTGTGCCACAGTCAGTGGCTCGGGATCCGAGGGGCGTCAGGGAGCGCCTGGCTAAGCTGGCCTGGCACAAACCTTGGTACCAGCAAACAGGCACAACTCTGGGCCTGGGGGTGGAGCTGGGCTGCCAGAAGCATTGCAGCCACGTGGCACCGTCACAGCCACATCTCCAGGCATCCGAGGGGATCCCACCTCTCCCCGGCCACGGCCGGGCTCCACACATCCCTCGGCTGCCACCACTGCTGCACGCGTGTGGCTGGAGCGGGGAGCTGCCTGCTGGGCACATCTCATGGGGCATCTTTTGGCAAGCCCCCTTCCCAAAAGCGCCGGGACTTTTCAGCACCGGTGCTCACCCCCTCCACCAGTAGCTCCGGAGAACTGGTTTCCAGCCGGGAGCTCAGATCGGCTGCCAAAGGATGGGAGCAGCAAGCCGGGCATGGCGGGGGAAGAGAGGGAAGGTTGCAACACACTTTCAATTCTCCCATCTGCTGAGTATTGTTTGGGAAAAACAATGAGGCTGTTCTTTAAATGCAACCTTCAGGAGATCCTCGCTTTCCCCGCGGCGCCCGCCGTGCCCGCCTGCCCTGGCGAGCCCTGCCCCGCTGCTCCTGCCCGATCCCATCTTAAATCCTCACCCGGGAAAAACAGATCCTGTTTTCAGGGAGGTTTCTGGTGCTGGGTCGGAGGGCCAGAACTGGCAAGCGGGGAGGATGAAGCCAGCTGTGTGAGGGGCTGCTGGCTGGTGCTCACACTGCGCCTCTCTCCCCCTCATCACCTTGAACTTGTCTGGGGCCTCGTGCAGTAAATCAGCAGACCTTTTTCCAGGTACTTGCCGATTTCTCCCTTCCCTGGACAGCTTTGCCTTGCCCACGGTTCCCTCCCTGGCCGTGGTTCAGGTCACTCATGCCCACAGTTCCCTCCGTTCTGGGGCAGGGAGTGCTCCCACCGCGTGCCCAGCGCTGCGGGTGTGCGCACGCCTTTGCAGACTGCTGAACAAAGCCCAGCTGCCAGAGCCCAGAGCCCTGCCCGGGGCTCTTGGAGCAATTGGGAATAGCTCCCATTTCTATTCCCCTGAGCCTGGCAGGGCTGGGGATGGATGCTAGGAGCCATACCCTGATCTTGTTTTGACCCGGCGGTGTTCCCCCCTTGCAGAGGTGGCTGTGGCATGGACGGTGTGGCCAAGGCGGTGCTGGCGTGGCAAGGCTCACTGGGCAGAGGAACCATGGCAAGGGCTGGCCCAGCCAGCCCTTATCAGGCCACAGCAAAGAGCAAGAAAGGCGGCTCCCTGAGGAGCAGCCCTGGGGGAGAGCTGCCACAGTGGCACTGAGGGATCTGTCCCAACCCCGGGCCGTACATGGTGAGGAGGGCCTGAATAGGGGTTTGGTACTCACAGAGAATGGGAGGGTCAGTGTGTCCTGCCTTTGGAGGTGGTGGAGGCAGGTCCCTGCCAGGCAGGGCTCTCTGGGAATAGCCCCAGGGACAGGGACAGCTTGCCCTGTCTGCTCACCCACCTTCCTTGCCCGATGGTGTCTGTGCCAGCCATCCCTGTGCCTGGCCCCTGGACATGTCCCCACAGCCCAAGGGGTGCCCAGTTTCACCCCATCACTGCTGTTGTGCCTGCACCTGTTCTAGCCACAAGCCAAGCCCTTGGTGGCACGATGGGGGTGGTGACAGTGGTGGGGAGCATCCCAGAGTCCCTCACTGGAGGGGAAGAAGGAGAGTTGTCAGGGAGGTAAAATTCCTCCCTGTGAAGCTGGCACGCTGCCTGCCACCCCCGGCCGTGCTGTGGCTCCTCAGCGCAGGGATGGCGGTGCCAGCACAGAGCATCTCCGAGGGGGCTGGCTGCCCGTGGGTGGGGGCTGGGGGGGCTGCTGTCCCCATCAGTCCTTGCACCCAAGCTGGGAGTGCAGGCAGGGTCCTGTGGTGGTGGGGATGTGCTCCTTAGGGACCCATGGGGAGAGGATTTCTCCCACAGCACCTTGGGGTGTGCCGGGCAGGTCGAGGCAGGGTGGCGAAGGC